ATCCACCATCTCTGAAGGGCGAAATGCCACTTTTCTTTCAGTTTTCCCCTTATCTCCATGCTCTATAATTTGCTTTTTTCTCTATCTCTCCATGACTTAAGTGCCTCTTAGATTAAGTCGTTCAGACACAGGCTAATCACTGGCCAGCTCAAAACCGAAAATAAACCTCTTGAAGCCACATGTAGTTCTGTGATCTTAGTTAAAACACTACCAAAAAGCCTTTTTCACTCAACATATTTTCAGGCCAGTGAAAAACACAGAAATGTAAAAACTTCTCCAAAACGTCAACAGGACAGATGACGTGGGTTCTTTCCATTCTGTAATCTTGAAAACCACACCCACCTGACCTTGAGGGGAAAACCTGTTCCCATGGACTTATAAACCCCCTGCAGTCTCTTCCTCGGGGTATGAAATGTGATGCTGTCAGGCCTCCAGGAAGAATCCAAAAGAGAGAAAGATCACTGATCTCGGAACAGAAATGGACTTTCTGGCCACATGTGGCAAAACAGAAATTGGCCTTTTGGGGTCAAGGGTGAGGATGACTCTTAGCTTGTGTCACCCCCTCATAAGAGGGAGGAGGACAGGAAAAGAATAGAGAAGAAGAAGGACATTTGCTAAAGCAGAAACATTTAAATCAAATTCATCTCAACTCCTTTCAGAACGTTTTTTTCAATGATGCCCGGTTTTCCCCACCATTCATCCCTCACCCAGATAAACATACGATAGCGGTCCTCATTCTCGTCAGAGGTACTCAGTATGTGCTTTTTCCTCCACAAAGAGGCCTCCTGCCCCTCCCTCTAAATTCTGCACTCAGGGTGACATCTATTTCTTTAATTGACTTCATGGTATATCACATCTAAAATCATCCTATTCATTCCTTTTTTGAAAAATTTGATTATTTGTCTCATCAGCAAGGAGACACTCCATGTGATTGGGGACCTCTTTGAATCCCAGAGCCTGGCTTTTGTAGTCACTAAATAAATTACTGTCCAAACAGCCAATGAATGGATGGATGAACCCATCCACCCTGCCCAGCTGACTGCCTGAATGGACAGACACCCAGTCATAATAGCTTTTGGTGAGGAAAGGAACCACAGTGCCACTGTTGTTTTGTATTTTTCTTTTTCATTCTCAAACAAAACTATGAAGTTATAACCTAGGAAAACAGAACCAAAAGAATCTATCCCATCTATCTGTTCTATTAAAGGAGCATCCTCTCCCTCCCTTGAAAAATGGTGACTTTAAGGAGGAAACCTTAGCATTCTTGCTTAAGGAAAGCATTTGGATGGGTTGAAATTTGGGTGAAGCTGACAGGGACTCCTCAGGAAAAAAAATTATACACTCTGCCTATGGTTTAAAATCAAAGCAAACTTAGAATCAAACATTTTCTTATTCTGTACAATGTGTGTTAAAGAAGATACAGCCAAAGATAGAAATGGAATTGACATAAGACATTTCATTTCTCTTGCATCAATTTAGTTTGCTGTCTGCAAATTTCAGAGATAAAATAGTCTGGGTTTTCAGATCTTGTGACTTATGGGGAAGGGGGAATGGAAGTAGAGTCAAAGGCTAATGGTGGAGAGAAAGAGAAAACAGAGAATCAAGAGAGAAGGAAAGAGGAAGAAAGAGAAAGCTAGAAGTAGATGCAGAGACTCCAATGGAGCGACGGAGCGAGTATGCTAAGGAATGTGCTCCCGACAGCCTGGGGAGGCAAGGGGAAGACACCCAATACCTTCGAGGTTTATTTGTCTCTCTTTTTAAGTCCTGGGAAGAACAGATAAGGAGGTAAGAGGGAAGCTGGAAGAAGAGAGGATGAAGGGAAGTTGTAAAACATTTCAAATACATTAAGTGGAGGGAGGATTCCTGTGCTCTCGCTGAGGTTTCTTTCATTGACTGAGACCAGCTCCAGCCAAAAGCTCCAGTTTAGCACTGCCCACAGCCTTTCTCTGCCCTGTGACAGCTCCCTGCACATATCTCCCAGGCTCCATTGGCCTGAATGCAGAAAGACACTTACCATATCCCTCAGACCCCTAGCCTGGCCTTCTGCCTGGTGAGCCTTCTACCTCAACAGTATCTGGAGGCAGATGAAAATAACATTTGCTTCAAGTAGAGAAAAGCAGAGGCTGAAAATTCACAGGGAGCTAGAGAAACCCTTCAAGGTCCACCCGCCATTGTGGACATTCAATAGCACTTAATCTATTCCCCAAAGAGAGCGTGCATCTCAGTCCTGCTCTCCTTGAAGTAGGCTGAGTTGTATACTCATCTTTGAAGTCCCAGTCTGTCCACCCTGCTGGGCTCATGAGGAAAAGGGGCAATGCCTGACTCACACTGTATCCTCCGGAGCCTGATGAAACAGGGTCTGGCCCACTGAAGGACTTAGAATGGAACTGAAATGGGGGCCAAGCCAGAGGTCACACAGCTCATTAGTGGGAATACGTGGTCCTCCGGGATCTCTCTCCAGTGCTCTTTCAACCTGACCCCACCCCGCTCCCTCACTCAGCTGACTTTCCTTCTCTCACATGGCAGAAGTGTTTGCTGGTGTGTCATCAATGACCATCTACATTCAAATGAATTCCTATTTTCCTGCATCCCTAGCTGTTCATCTCTGGTCTCTCTCTCCCAAATTCATACCTTGCAATGTCTACAAACTATTAGTGAGCTTATAAAACATTAAAAAAAAATCATCTCCTGACTTAGATTCTGATGTTGAGAGGATAAAACACATAGATCATCTTGAGTGATGGGACCTGACTCAAAGAATACATCGGGAACTGAGGCCACTAGACAGTAGTCTCAGCAGCCAAACGGGCGTAAGAACTGCGGTGCTGCCAAGCCTGAGACGTATGTCAGGCTTCAGGGACAGCCGAGACAGTGCTGGCTTGGTGCTATTCAGAACGTCCTGAACTCTAGACCTACGCCACTTGATTTTCCCGGTCCCGGAGAAGTCTGTTGAAATCAGTTTGTCTCCATCCAGTAAGGAGCCAACTTGTCGGGCAGAATTCTTTAGATGACAGGTCTCCCTCATTAGATCCTCTGGTTCAGTCACTGAATTGTGGACAACCCCTGGATACCTGGAGAGCAGCTGTGGCATTCTATATCCATCCATCCATCCATTTGTCTACCAATGATACATTCATCTACCTGTCCATCCATCCTTCCTTCCCTCCATCCATTTATCTGTTGGCTCTGCTTTCTTCTGTGTTGATGTCATTCTCAGGCAGATTCTACCCACGTGGCCAGAAAGCTGGCCACCAGCAATTCTGAGGTTTTATCTATGAGACTACACCCTCTCAGCATCCAGATCAGTCTCTGAAAAAGGGTTCTGTCCAGCCTGACAGGTCACATGTCACCCTGCAGTGGGAGGTGTCACAGGTTACTTAACTGACCCAAATGGTACAGAATGCAAGAGTAGTTGAGTCCTAAAAGGGAGGAATAATCTGGATAGGACAGAAGAGCCAGAGCTATTCACTGCACAGGTCTTCATTCTGACACAACAAAGTTTTCTCTGTGATGTGCAATTGGCATCATAATGTGTCTGTACACAAACTGTCTCAAACTATGACAGATATTTCAATGTGTGCAAACAAAATTTCACTACTACATACACACACTCCAGCAAAAGTGTTAACTCAAAATTTTATTTGAAGGGGTGATGGAAAAGCATTTTCACAGGGATGTATATCAAGCATGACTTTACTGGATCTCAGATAAGATCCTTCTGGTTTTTAACAACCGCATATAAACTGAGGTTATAAGGGAAACACTCCTTGGGCTAGCAGAAGGCATGGGTGTTGGTTTCTGCGCTGTCTTGCCCAAGGGCCATTTTTTCAACACTACCTTCTTTCTTCTGCTTAGAATGTAGAAGCAGGATTTGCATGGAATGAATGAATTTCCCAAAGGGGGAAAAATAAAAAAGCCTCTGGATTTTGATATACAGTGTGGAGAGTAGAGGTCAGGAGAAAAAAAGGAGGGTCATTCAAACAGGGATACCCAAGAGGCCAACAAATGTGTCTCATTTTTTGAGCATTACACATTGTAAGGAGGGGGAGGTTTGTCAGATACTGATTTATGCACCAGACCACCTAATGTAACAACTTGTGACTTTGTTAGGAGAATGAAACCCAACGAGCCCGCTTCCAATCACGCAGGGACTAACTGTCCTGGTGTGAACTGCCCCAATCCTTTTCCCTGTTGACCACTTTGTACAATTACGTCATCCTGAGGAGAGCACAGGAGAGGAAAGAATGTAAGGTTTTAAAATATCGGTTTGGGCAGCAAGGAAGTAAATCCACCAGCTAGAGTGGGAGTTATGGGCAGAGGATTTACAGCTATCCGCAGTGCACTGATCCCTTCCTTGCACCAGAGGGGAGACTTCCTCACCCTTATTAGGAAGGAAGAAGGCCTTGGAATAGGGAGAGGGGGGGACCAGAGATTGTGATATTTAAAGGAAGGAAATCCTTCCATAAAAGAGGGACAAAAAGGACTCCATTTACCCTGATGACTGGGAATTCCTGAGGCCCTTTACATTGCCTAAGTTGGGATGAAGAATCTTCTTCGAGAAAAATGCACTGGCTAATGATATGTTACCTTCTTAAAACAATGTTCAATTACTTAACTAAGAATGCATATATTCTTTTAAATGTTCCTACAGTCAGAATTACAGGCATACCTCACTTTATTGCATTTCGCTTTACTGCATTTTGCAGATACTGCGTTTTTTATTAATTGAAGGTTTGGGGCAACTTTGCATCAAGCAAGTCTATTGGTGCCATGTTTCCAACAGCATTTACTCACTTCCTGCCTCTGTTGCACATTTTTCAAATTTTTTCACTGTTATTACATGTGTTTGGCGATCTGTGATCAGTGATCTTTGATGTTACTACTAGGACTCACTGAGAGCTCAGATGATGGTTAGCATTTTTTTTTTACAATAAAGCATTTTGTAATTAAGACATGTACATTGCTTTTTTAGACATAATGCTATTGCACACTTAACAGACTACAGTTTAGTGTAAACATAATTCTTACAGCACTGGGAAACCAAAAATCCGTGTGACTCACTTTATTGTGATATTTGCCTTATTGCAGTGGTCTGGAACCAAATCTACAACATCTTTGAGGTCTGCCTGAACACAGGATTAAACTGTATGTATTGTTCTGTCTGTAGTTTTTCACATAGAAATATATCTTATAAATCTGCCCATGTGAGCACTGTAAGTCTGCTCTTCTACTAGTCTTCTATCTTATTCTCTTTACTGCTGCACACTACTATGTAATAGTGGCTGTATCACAAAGGAGCATAGTTTATTTCCCTAAACATGTTACCTTCTATGTTTAAATGGCTTCTAATTTTTTGCTGTTATAAATAATACTGCATTGAAAGTCCTTATTGATGCTTCTCTGTACACATGTGGGAAGAATCCCCTTGGACAGAAACGTAGAAGTGGAAGTGATGGTTCAAAGTATATTGACATTTTCACTTATGATATATACTTCCAAATTGACCTCCAAAAGACTATTGCATTTTATGCTCCTTCAACATTGAAAGCAACACAATTTTTTTTAATTTCCAATCTAATGGGTAAAACATGATCTATCATGATTACTTTGATCTTTGTATATTATTTACTGCTTAAGCACCTTTTCACATGTAAATTGGTCACTTTATTTAGACTGTTTATATTTCTGCCTGTCTTTCTACTTTTTTCTTTGTCTTATTTATTTGTATGAGCTCTTTATATATTGTGAATTTTAATCTTTACCTATTAGGTAGCTTGCAAATATTTTACCCTAGACTGTTGCTCACATTTTATATATTTCACTATATTAAAGTTTAAAATGTTTAATGTAGTTAAAAAAAACTTTACCCTATATGGTTTCTGGGTTTTATATCTTGCTTAAAAGAGGTATTACCCATCTAAAAATTACCAAAAAAGTTTTGCTATTTTTCTAATATGTTACAGATTTTTCTCTAGATTTAGTTCTTTAATCCATATGAAGCATGTTTTTATATTTACAGTGAGACTGAAATTTTCTTTTCTTCTCATTATCCTGACATTATTTATCAAATAGGTCCTCACTTACTCATAATTTGAAATGTTATCTTTGTTTTAAATACTAAATCCCTATGTAAACATACATGGATCTATTTACAGACTCTTTGTTCCACTGATCTATTTCTCTATTCTTGTGTTAAGAACACACTGTTCTAATTACTGTCATTTTAAAGTATGTTTTGATATAAAATAGGATAAATCTCCTCTCACTGTTAACCCTTTTTCAATGAACTTTTTTTAATCTGTGCATTTTCTAGTCTATATAAACTTACAGATCAGCTTGTCAAGTTCCATTAAATATCCCCCTTGCAATTTTTCTTAGGATTGCATTGAATTAATGGATTATACAGGAAGGAACTGACACCTTCACAATTTTGAGTCTACTGCAAACCTGGTATGTGTCTGCTTATTCAGGTCTTCTTTTGTCCTTCAATAAAATGTTATGGATTTCTTCAAATTAGGCTTATTTCTAGATTTCTTTTACTACCGTAATTAAAATATTTCCATGACATTCTCTAATTGTTTATTAATAGCACATTGGACAACTAATTTTTCATCTATTCATTCAGCAAGTACTTGTTAAATGCTCACTGTGTGGGGCACATGCAATCCTGTCCACTGTAGGTGTACAAATCATGGATTTTTGTATTGTTGAAAGATAAACTGCGGCATATTAAAATTGTCAAGAGTTTATTTAAGCAAAAATCAATTCTAATCAGGCTGCCAATCCAGCAAGGGTTAGAAGCGCTCCACCAATTGGAAGGAGTGGGGCCCTTTTACTCAGAAGATGCGGAAGCAAGGCAAGCAATTTATTTGTTTGGCTACAGTAGTGGAAACGTTCACCTCATTTGGAAAGCCTATTGGCTGTTTGCGATTGGCTATTCTCGGGCTTCCCATTCTTAACTCTGGCACTAAAGGCTTAGGTCTCACTCTGCTCACTTAGGCTCCTGGCACAGGAGCCACCTCAGTCTCATGGCTCCTTGTTTAATTAAGGTAGAAGTACTGTTCATCTCCACATGAAAAGCTCCAGGAAGAAATATTAATGAATAAGTTTAATAACCAAGGCAAATATATACATAGGTCAGAAAGTTTAAAAGAAAAGGAAAATGTTTAGAAAACCTTCTTGAATATATTTTCAACCACATTACTAGTGTCTTCTACACAAAGTCACACGGGGGAAATTTTTTCACTATTGAAAGGCTGTGTTGTCCCTGTGGTCATATGCTTTTTCCTCACAAAGAATCAAAAATAAGCAACTGCCATGTTTCTCCCCCCAACCCACTTTTTCTCTGCATTTGTTGCCAGAAAGTTCAGTGTTAACTTGCTCGGTCAACCACAGCGACATCAATATTCTGATTCTTCTCTCCCCACCTACTGATGCAGAGTTTGCTTTCTTTATGTTTTTAATTTGTATTGGCTATAAACTACTTGATCTCCTAAGAAGCAAGGCACAGAAAGAAGAGGAGAAAACATTTCTAAGTCATCTAGGACACCAGTTGGTATAAAACAGATTTGAAGGCGACCTTTCTTTTGAACTGCTGAGACCTCCAAGGACAAGGTCACTCAGCTCTGCCTCTTTCCCCAAGGTTACTTCTGCCTTTTCAGCCAGTAGCTCAATTGTCTTCAAGGCACAAACGAGAGACAGGTCCTGAATCCTTTCATCACGTAGGCAGTGTTTTCTGGAGTTGTTTTTTGTTTTTTGTTTTTCTTGAGTGTTTGAAAGGAAGAAAAAAGTGAGGAGGAACCTTCTGTCAAAGACCCAAAACAGTTTTAAAGTTGCGTGCTCAAGGCAAACAGCTTCTCTGTTCTGTTTATATGTTTTGGCCCCACAATTTTGAGTGACTCAGATGTCAAAAGACAATTCCATTCTGGAGGAGGGGCCCCCGTGGGTTGTTGCTCTAATTTAACAGATCTTCAAACAGTGAGGCCCAGATGACACAAAATGCCAAAAGAAGCTGGGATTTTAACCTAAACTACAGGTTTGCATTTTTTTTCCATTTCTCTGCCTTTCCTTCCCTGTCTCCACCCCCACCATCCACACCCCACACCCTCCAACTAAGCTTTTCTATTGCAAATGACCAGGGACAGGATTTGAATAAAATCTGAAGCTATTTCCTCTGCTCCTGGACCTGCAAATGACTGCACCCTAGTTTGTGCACAGATACTCTGCACACTTACTACCAGTTGTGAAATAAATAAGCTTATCTGATGCATGTAATTTGAGTAAAAGAAAATTACAAAATAATAGGTAAAAATAAAGCAGCTCATTGTTGTGCATTTGTGAAGGAAATTACCAGATGAACAACTGGCCTTTAGATTTTTATGTGATTAAGCTTGAACAAGAGAATAAGAACAAAGGATTTACACCCTTCTTCCCCCATCCCTAGGCCTCCATCCCCCTACCCCTCCCCAGCCAAAAGTGATCAGGACAGCTTTTGCAACAGGTTTTTGACCCTTGAATAATTCAGAAACTAGAGTCTACCAGAAACAGAGACAGAAATGGTTCTTTGACTAGAAAAATTTCTAGAAGAGTCAACTGACAAAATTTCAACCCCAGTAGCTGAAAGAGAACTCTTCCATCGGATTTACTGAATGTTGTTCATTTGTTACTTAAAACAGACTCTTGCTTTTGGTTCTGAAGCTGGGTGAATGTGCTTTTTCCTTTTTTTACAACTGATGACATCAGAAATGGCATGAGAAGGGAGAATATCCTCCCAGTCATTTTCATAATCCATATTTAACCTCTCACCTTAATAAAGTCCTTTTTATCCCCCTCAGCATCTTTATTCTTTAATAGCATTTCAGCTGACTACAAAAGTAATATATGTAGACACTGTAGATGTTTTGGGAAACACTGAAAATCATAGGGAAGAAAAACTTAAATCATTCATTTTTCCAGCACCCATCAATAACCACTATTAATATTTTAATGATGAGTCTTCTAGCCTGTACTTCTCAATGTGCATAGTCATATTCTTCACAAAAATGAGAACATGCCACTTTTGCTTTTGCATAAACAGTTAAAAATCCTCACCATCTTGGTTGCAATGAGATCTCATCCCATGATGTACCATAATTTTTTCAACCCATCTCCTCTTATTTGGGCTTTTCTTGGTGGCTCTTTAAAGCATGGAGTTCACCGTTAAAGATGTGAATGACATAAAATGTATCTTTTTTTTTCTCTGATTTATCATAACATTTTGTGTATATTTCCCTGTGCTATACAGTGTAATCTTGTTTATTAAAATGTATCTTAACTCACCCCAAGTGACATTTCCATCTCTGAGACCAAGAATCCTCCTGGGGCACACACCTGATAGGAAAAACGGACAGAAAAATATTTTACACACTGTCTGGGGAGCTGGCTAAACTAGACGGTAGTGTCATTACTAAAATGTCAACAGCTCATTGGCTAAGTATACTGGGAAACAACCCACCAAAAAGGAAAATAATATATATTCTCTATGAAAGTACTCTTTCTCTTTTCTCTAAAAAAAAAAAAAAACAAAAACAAAAAAAACAAAAGTAGACAAAGGGAAAAGAATCAATTTAGAACCTTTACTAATTACCTTTTTTTAAATGACAAATGAACTACCAACATCTGCATCGTCC